TATTGCCTCTAAATTGTTAACAGTTACAATGAAAACAGTAACTTACAAAAAAACTAACCTATTTCAACCTTAATTTTAGAATTCTGATTATCATTCCTTTCATATCCGAGCATAGTTGGTTCTTCTTTAACAGAAAATTCTTGATCCATGATGCCTGAATATTGTGGGATCTAAAAAGCAATTTAAAGAAATGAAAATTACAAAGTTCAATTTTACCAATGTTCTGCCAGCAATTTTTTTTTTTTGTATAGTAAAATACCTGTAAATCATTGTAAACTGAGAGTCTGAGAGATTTAGTGCACATATTTTACCATTGGTCTTAAAATTGGGGTTCATCCATTCATGGAAAAAAGAATACGATTCAACTACTGAATTTTTTTACCGGTACGCACAAAACAGACCTACTTACTGTAATATGAATGCTAGGAATTTACTAGTGACCGTTTTCAAGAGGGGATAAAACCTTGAATGTTGAAGACACTGCAGAAGTCGGGAAAGCTCATTTCACGCCATCTATGGGCCCCCCTCTCTTTTTGGGGTTTTTTTGGAATCTTTCTGACCCCCTCCTAAATTTGAACCCAGATGCACCCCTGAATTATCATATTCTTTATTAATTTTATTTATTCATTTCCGTATCAAATATCCACAAATACAAAAGACAGCCAAGAAATAGGCTGTAATGATTTTGCCTATAGACAATTTGGCCTATGAAACGGGACCGGACCCTCCATTCCAGAGATTTCCTTTCGAGAGTAGAGATCAAAAATATCCACTTTGGGCCCGATCGACTGTACAGACAGTATATCTAGTCAGCTATATAGCCACTTGGAAGCAGGTCAACTCAGCCACAAGTCAACTCGCCACAAAAAGTTCGGCTACAGTCAACTCGGCCACAAGTTATTTATAATATATAACATGTTATATATATATAGAATAAAATAATTAAAATGAAATGTAAATATTATATTACTCGATTTTATTAAATATATTAAAATAATAATACTAAGACTAATAGGCCTATATAATAATAATAATATTAATAATAATAATAATAATAATAATATAAATAAAAAAAATCGAGAATTTATTTATTATTTATATGGTGACAATAATAATAATTATTATATCAGCAAAAATATAAACAATACATAATGTTATGCTAAGACTAATAATTAATATTAAAACTAAGGGTAATATAAACAATAACAATGACAACAATATTAACAGCAATAATAATAACAATAAGACTTTAAAGAATCTTCAAAGTTTAGTACCAGTGTAGTAAATAGGCTGCAGTTGACATGTGGCCGAGTATTTGTGGCCGAGTTGACTGTAGCCGAACTTTTTGTGGACGAGTTGACTGTGGCCGAGTTGGATCTAATTCTACCCTAAGGTCTAGCAAGCATTCTCATTACAATATTAATTAGCGATACTGCCTCTCCCTAAAAATTGGCTAGTTACACCACATCTCAGAGTCATCTGTTTATCCACTAGGTCTTAAGAAACGCCTAATTGTAATGTAAATCACAATTTAACTCTTTAATTTTTTAGTTAAGCTTCTCACTTCGACACAAATAAACCCAACACTTTCCAATTCTTTGAACTAAAAGCAACTAAAAGCAAAGATACTAGAAATACAAGATAGAGTTCTCCCATAGAGCTATTAAACAACTAGAGTGCTGACAAGATGGCGGAGCAATGCAGAGTTGTGTATGTGTACCATCCAAGATGGCTGCCGTAGGGAAGCGCCACCTTCAGGCTTAGTATGCATATTATTACCATAAATAAGCCCTCTGACTGAATATTATTTCATTAATGATAATTAGTATTGATAATGAAAAATTATTAAACTGTCGTAGCCAAAACGTGGCCAAGTGGAACATCTTATTCAAAAATAAAATACCAAGGAATGAAAATTAAAATCATGTACTTTACACCCAAACACCGCAACGCTCGAGTTTCAAACATAGCTGTACTGAACTTTCTGTGTAAATTGCTGTCTCTTATACACATCTAGATGTGTATAAGAGACAGGTACACACACACAGCTCTGCGTATTTCGAACATCGAATACATTGCTGTTAGCGCTCTAGTATTCTTATTATATCTCTATGAGTTCTCCACACAAAAAAAGTGTTCCACCGAAATGCATGGTGGGAATACAAAAAATGGGACGCCCCCTACAGCTGGATCTACAAAAACTTGTGCCAAACTTTCGTTACCAAGTCGTCGCGTATTTTATTATCAATTCTCAACAAAGATATATCCTAGTATGAAAACAAACTGGAATAGACACCCAGACAGTGACATCGGTGAATACATAACCTCCTTGGTGGCGGTAGAAATCGTTGCTATTATCCAAATAATACACAAAACAATTAAAGCATAATCATGAATCAGTAAAGAATAAAACAACAATACAGCGCAGAATCGTATGGCCGGACGCACTCTTAGTGAAAAAGTTTTCCTCCACTAGTGGAAAAGGAAGGGCGCCTTTTGCGTCTGGATATGCTTAGCAACAGAAGGGCGCCCTGTACGTTGGGCACGAAGTATAGGAAACTTGCATGGTTAAAAATAAGGGCGTTGGGCACGACTTCCGCCTCATTTTTAAAAGGCAAGAACTCTATCTTGTATTTCTAGTATCTTTGCTAAAAGGGTATACGGTACCAAAGATACTAGAAATACAAGATAGAGTTCTCCACACAAAAAAAGTGTTCCACCGTGTTCCACCGAAATGCATGGTGGGAATACGAAAAATGGGACGCCCCCTACAGCTGGATCTAAAAAAAACTTGTGCCAAACTTTCGTTACCAAGTCGTCGCTTCTTTTATTATCAATTCTCAACAAAGATACTAGTTATAAAAACAAACTGGAATAGACACCCAGACAGTGACAACAGTGAATACATAACCTCCTTGGTGGCGGTAGAAATCGTTGCTACTATCCAAATAATACACAAAACAATTAAAGCATAATCATGAATCAGTAAAAACAACAATAGCGCAGAATCGCATGGCAGGACGCACTCTTAGTGAAAAAGTTTTCCTCCATTAGTGGAAAAGGAAGGGCGCCTTTTGCGTCTGGATATACTTAGCAACAGAAGGGCGCCCTGTACGTTGGGCACGAAGTATAGACCATAGAGATATAATAAGAATAAGTTGTTTAATAGCTCTATGGTATTATCAAAGATACTAGAAATACAAGATAGAGTTCTCGCATTGTAAAAATGAGGCGGAAGTCGTGCCCAACGTAGGCGGCGCCCTTCTTTTTACCCATGCAAGTTTCCTATACTTCGTGCCCAACGTACAGGGCGCCCTTCTGTTGCTCAGTATATCCAGACGGTAAAGGCGCCCTTCCTTTTCCACTAATGGAGGAAAACTTTTTCACTAAGAGTGCGTAAGGGCATGCGATTCTGCGCTGTATTGTTGTTTTATTCTTTACTGATTCATGATTATGCTTTAATTGTTTTGTGTATTATTTGGATATAGCAACGATTTCTACCGCCCACCAAGGAGGTTATGTATTCACCGATGTCACTGTCTGGGTGTCTATTCCAGTTTGTTTATATTTCTAGTATCTTTGTTGAGAATTGATAATAAAATACGCGACGACTTGGTAACGAAAGTTTGGAACAAGTTTTTTTAGATCCAGCTGTAGGGGGCGTCCCATTTTTCGTATTCCCACCATGCATTTCGGTGGAACACGGTGGAACACTTTTTTTGTGTGGAGAACTCTATCTTGTATTTCTAGTATCTTTGGTATTATAGACCTATAATACCAAAGATACTAGAAATACAAGATAGAGTATCTTTGGTATTATAGACCTATCCAAGAAGAATGGCGCCCTCTGTAGCTTGTAGCTGCGTAATGCCGTCAGTCTTCGAACTAAAAGTTTATCGAAGTTAAAAGATAAGTACTGTATATTATTATGTGTATTTAAAACAGAATAAAGATAACACACAAGCCACTGTTGAAATGTACCTACACAGGCAGGTAAAATTAGTTCATGTTTTATTTATGTTTAGTCAAATACTGTATAGGCCTAGTATTATTTCATGTTTCCTCAGTTTTTTGGGGGGTTTTGGGTTTTTTTTTTTTTTATTTCCGAGTTTACTGATAGCAAATTCAAACATTATTTTATTGACTTGTTGCACGGGTACAGTGCCGTAACAAAGCCAGGACTTTTTCATTAGACTCGCTAACCCATCGGGTCCATTTTCCGATGTTGATGTTTGTTTCTGTGCATAAATGAACAGTATTTACTGAACCATCGAATCATTCTTTTTCTCAAAACAATAAAAAAAATGTATTATACAAGTACTGTATAATAAACAAGTTATCAGATGCTAAAATCACAGACATTACAAACGTGCATGTTTTTATTGGCACCGCTACTGCAGGTGTTGTTATATTTTATATATTAAATCCTTTGATGGGCACCGCTACTGCAGGTGTTGTTATATTTTATACATTAATCCTTAGATGGGCACCGCTATTGCATTATGGGTACCACTATTTCAGGTGTTGTTATATCTTATACATTAATCCTTAGATGGGCACCGGTTTTGGGGGGTTTTTTTTGTTTTTTTGTTTTTGTTTTTTATAAAACAATGGGTTAATTTTGCCTTTTCTTTTCTATAGACAACATATTAATTCTTAGATGAGCACTGCTACTGCATTATGGGCACCACTACTGCAGGTGTTGTTAAATTTTATATATTAAATCCTTTGAGGGGCACCGCTACTGCAGGTGTTGTTATATTTTATACATTAATCCTTAGATGGACACCGCTATTGCATTATGGGTACCACTACTTCAAGTGTTGTTATATCTTATACATTAATCCTTAGATGGGCACCGCTACTGCAGGTGTTGTTATATTTTAAACGTTAATCTTAGATGGGCACCACTACTGCAGGTGTTGTTATATTTTATATATTAAATCCTTAGATGGGCACCGCTACTACATTATGAGCACCACTATTGCAGGTGTTGTTATATTTTATACATTAATCCTTAGATGGGCACCGCTACTGCATTATGGGCACCGCTACTGCAGGTGTTGTTATATTTTATATATTAATCCTTAGATGGGCACCGCTACTGCATTACGGGCACCACTACTGCAGGTGTTGTTTTATTTTATATATTAATCCTTAGATGGGCACTGCTATTACATTATGGGCACCGCTACTGCAGGTGTTGTTATATTTTATATTAAATCCTTAGATAGGCACCGCTACTGCAGGTGTTGCTATAGTTGATATATTAATCCTTTAATTAATTAATTTATTATTTATTTATTTATTCTTTATACTGTAGGCACTTTCAGTACTATTACACTGATTTTCAAAGTGGTACAGTTTAAACATAACAAAGATATATACAATATAAAGAATTGTTTAACAAAAAATAAAAAGAACAAAAGGCACCACTACTGCAGGTGTTGTTATAAACACCCTAAAATTAATATGGATATGAACAATATGAAATAATTGAGATAGGGCCGGTACTAATGTAGAATAATAATTGGTTAGTTGCCAAAGCGTCCTAAGCCTCTATAGTCACACGCCACTGATCAAACGATGCATATGACGACACAAATGTTAATTTTCTCAGTAAATACCAATTGTATACAATTATCAAACTTTTAAAATAATGGATAGTTATTTGTATGTCATCTATTCCTATCCTAGGGATTCTGCATATATCTCCTGACCAAGGTCATCTAGCCATTGAATTAATCATTTATACTGAGCCATTGGATAGTCACCTTCCACAAACATCGCATGAAACCCATTTTGATGGGAGTTCTGGCTTACTATACACCCAACACAACAATGTCACAGAGTTCATGTTTGTGAATGTGGCATCTTTGCTGATTCAAGGAGCTTGCCACGACAAAGTTTCTCCTCGCAATGGCGTGTGGACATGCCCCAGGGTTTCCGGTGAGAGTTTTCTGCTCAATGCTATTAAGGTATTCTGTAATAATATACAAAAAACATTAAAGAATTATCATACACTTGCAAATTTTCTATGCATAATACTGTATACCAGCTGTAGGCCCTATAGACAAATGTAAAATATGTTACAGTAGAGTAGGTCTATATTTCTCTACTTCAAGCTAATTATTATTGTTAATTATTTAAAATTGTGTACCAGCATTACAAATGTGCCACATTTGTGAAATATTATGTGCTTTAATCCTTTTTAGTGTTACTATGGGTACTTTTTAAGTACAGTGCATTTACTTATGTACTTTAACTCAACATTATTATATGATATTAAAGGAAATGCTACATGTTTTTGTAATGTGTGAATTGACAGAATTAAAAAATATATATTATACTTAAATTAACTCAACATTAAACAATTATTTGATTTTATGTTTTTTAATAATGATTTTTTTTTTGTGTTTATCCAAAATGACCAAGATTTGGCCAAAAGCAAAAAACTAACCACTTGTTTAAGTGGCAATCCTTTCACAAGACAAACATACACACAAGCCACTGTTGAAATGTACCTATTTTCAAGAAAATTTACCAAGATCAACTATCTAATTATAGACTCATTTACTTACTTTCTGCTTTTTCTAAAATCATTGAAAAAATAAAGTATTCCAGAATTTATGATTACTTACTTAATCCTCTTCCTCCCGTGCGGAACATACGGCGTCATGCGATCTGCTTCCATCTGAAGCGATCTTATGCTACATGTTCTGCCTCGTTCCATGCCACACATCTCTTTCAGCTCGACCATCACAGTACGTCTCTAGGTTGTTCTAGGCCTCCCTGCCTTTCTTTTTCCAGGTGGTTTGTCCATCTCGATGCAGTCTTGGGGATACGGTTTTGGTCCATTCTGAGGACTGAGGACATGCCCAAGCCTCCGCATCCTTCGGCGTTTGATTTCAAGCACCTCACTCTGGCTCTTTGTTTTCTTGTAGAGTTCTTCATTCGAAATCTTGTTGGGCCAGAAGATTCGACATTCTCCTGAGGCATCTATTGTGAAAGGCATTGATTTTGTTCATGTCGCTCTTTACCACTCGCAAACACTCGGCACCATATAGAAGAACTGACTTTAGAAGACTTTATGATTATCTAACACAATTTGATTTATTAAATAAACACCAATATGGATTTCATAAGCCTCATTCTATTTCTCAAACATAATTAAGGTGAAGTTTGGTTTTAATACGACAATGTTCATAACTTTTCGGCTAGGAGACTTGTATATTGTACGTTGTTACATTAGTGGTTAATTGTTGTTACAATAGTGGTTAAACAATTTTGTTACAACAGTGGTTAAATCGTTGTTGCAATAGTGGTTAATGAATTATTACAGCAGTGGTTGATGTAACAACAGTGGTTGATTTTTGTTACAACGTGGTTAATGTTAAAAGTGGATGATTGTTATATTAGTGGGTTTAAACCATCTTACTCTTGTCTGATTAGTACTGAGTTCTTTTACGAGTGCAAAGCCATCATCCAGTCATTAGCAAATAGAAATAGAGATATGCCTAGGTATCTCCATTTCTTAGGGGGTGCACGCTGTGTTTTTTTAATATAATGTTAAAAATTTCCCTACATGCTTTATTTATTGCCAAATTGGTCATGGCACAAATAATGGGATTCACTATACTATTGCTTATCCAAATTATATCGGTCAATACTCGAAGCATGGTGAGAATTGATAAACTTAACTGATAGGCTGACTGTTGCAAGACTATAAAGAAGAACTTTGGAAGAAAGCATCCGTCATATGCAATGAAGATCAATATAGTCATCTTGATGGCTTTCACCTCATTTCTGGATGTCTGATCATTTTGCCGAGATTTTGACATCTTCACTGCAATATTCATTACTTTTATTTGCATCATCAGTTGAGAAATACCAAGGACAAGCAAACATAACAATGCAAAACGACCTCCTACAAAGGTTCTAAGACCAATTAGAAAAATGATAGTGCCCGCAGACGCACAGGTCACAAACACCGTTCTTTTTGCAGTAATATTCAGATACCGATACGGATACACAATCGATATATATCGATCGATAGTCAAAAGCAAATGCAATACAATAGACATCGATATACATATTATAATAACCAGTAGGTTTGGGTCATCTTTATCCATAGTTTCTAATTGCTTCCCAGTTACAACTTTCGGGATGTATACTGGTACACCTACAAAGCCTGTTACAAAGTCACTGAACGCAAGTCCGATGATCAAGACGTTAGTCGGCTTCTCAAGAAGCTCGCGTTTGCGTATGATAGAGACAATCATAAGAGCATTCAGTGTTAAAATCAGAACAATTAATAATAAGAACAAGCCGACAATGAATGCTAAAGTGAGGGGTCCGTAGGCAAATTTAGGTGCAGTAACGTTGAATGACATGGTGATCGTCTGCAAAAAAAATGAATGTTATTAAATATCGATATTATACAAATGTTATCATTTTAAATAAAATATTTCTAACAACACATAATCGCATGGCTTCTAACAGAAACCTGGCAAAATATCCAGATTATTAAAAATTATCGACACGTGTACTTCAGCATGACTGCATGTTTGGTCCAAAAATGATCTGATCTGTAGGTGAAAAAAACACAATGGATTGAACAACAGCAAGAACGTAAACATATTGTACTGAAGGGCAGATCCAGAAACGTGACTAATATAAAGATTAATAAAATTACCGGCAATAATTTAGCAGAACTGATTTGGTTTGGTCCAAAAATGGTTAACTTATTTGCTCTTTAGAATAATTGTAGGGGGTTGTATACAAAAGGAAAGAACAACGGCAACAATGCTGAGAACATTGTACTTAAGGGCGGATCCACAAACGAAACATATAACGCTGAGATCCTATCCACCATTAGAATGACATTATTGTCATAACTTACAAAAAAAAAATAAATAAATAAAATAAAAAATAAAATATTCGATAACATACTAGTTATCAAATGATATAAGATGTTAAATGTACTCTTACCTGTACCTGATGTTATGCTTTGAAACACAGTGATTTTGTTTGATTTTATAAGCCAATCGTGCCTATTTATACTTTCTAGCTTTAGTTTAGTGTTGCCATGGTAAAAATGATGCGTTCACTTGTTTACAATAATAATTCATTGGCCAATTTTTTTTTTATAGCAATTGAAATGCATTAAAATGTTGGTGTTATATTCCAAACCACCGTCATAATTACTAATAAGTGAGCTCACTTTAACGTTGATGAAGATAGCAGGAGCTATCGAAATATCCGTTTGATTTAGTTATAGCTTAATAAATTTGTGTTCCGCAAGTCAACTTTCAATGATTGTACACCGTTTTTTCATTGCTTTTGCATTTTA